GCGACACCGATTTAATCCTGTGCCGGCTGCGTAGCAGCATACCTTACGGTACACATGTCTTGCGTCTAGGCTCTCCGTGTGACGGTCTGCTCGTTTTTGGCCTTGGCCTCTGCTGTCTGGGCTCTCCGCGTGGCGGTTTGATCGTTTTGTTGCGTCTGCTCCTCGCCGACACAGTTGCTGTTGTTGGTTTCTCTCGTTGGCGTCCGCACTTGTTTGTTACGTCTGCTCCTCGTCGAGACAGTCGCTGTTGTTTGTTTGTCCCGGTCGGTTTAGTTGAGTTCCGCCAGCGCCTCGCCGACCAGGAAAATGACAGTAGTTCAGCATCTCGACCCCCTCCACGGTAGCGTAGGATTCGCAATTTCGACTATGTCACAATTTTTAAAACGAGTGATAAGTGATATGGTAGCACTTAGAGAGGAAGTACGGCGGCATCGGGAGTCGAGATGCTGTGTTGAGTACGCTGGAAAATCGAAACTGAGATTGAGTTTAGCACCTTCGTCCTATTCCTCCTAAGCAATTATAGTCCTTGGTGCCTGCAACTTCAACATCTAACTTCAAGCACATCGCTTCCTACATCTTTAACTTCATCCAGATGACTGCGTTGCACGCAGGTCACACGGCTTACTGCAGCTTGATCTCCACAAAGTTGGCAGATCGTTACCCGTTTTCGCGCTCTATGTGTTTGTAGTCGATAATATCGTGACAATCTGGTAGTATACCTTCCTAAAATTGATAAGTGCTCAATTCAATAGTATACGGTACACAAATTGGCGCTATCCGTTATTAGCATTTGCTATTCGCCCTGATAATTCCTAGTCTAAAATAGAGGTGGGGAATCTAATTAGGAGATCAGTCGAAATAAATAAGACTTTGGAGTCTAAATTAGCCAAGACCTCGACCAATTTACTATCCGATTAGACGTGATCGCAATATATCAATTCCTGTATACAAATTCCTGAAAAGCAAGCACGGGATGACTTGAAGCGTCGCCTTGTCACATGTGGCGCGTCCTTTCATGGCCACTCGATCTAAGTAGCAGCTTCCGGTGCAGAACTCAGGTTCATGACCGGCACGAAGGGCAGAGGCCGGGGCTCCGTGGCCGCGCGGTATGCGCGCGCCAACGCGCTGGTGGGGTCCGTGCTGAACAAGTTCCACAATGGGTCGGAGCGGGCGGTGGACCCGTTCGTGATCCGCACGCTGAAGGAGCACGAGCCGCGGCTGCTGGGCATCCGGTGCTTCGTGGAGCAGGTAGAGTACGCACAATAATAATAAGCTTATCCTTCCTGAGGCTGCGGGTTGAAGACTGAAGCGGGCGTTGCGCAGGGGCCAGCGGAGGACAGTCGACGCGCCAAGGACGAGTCGCACGTGGTCAACCACACGACGCACGCGTCGGGCATTTTCGGGCTCTTCACAGTCTGCGGGGGGTTGTTCGGACCGGGGGTAATCATGTCAGTGCGGGTTTTGTGGCGGGAGCTTGGAGGTGGAGGCTTATCTACTGTGAGTTTTGTGCTTTGACAGGCGTCAGTGGGATGCGTGCAGCGGAACGGAGGGCGACACGGACGAGCGGGAGGCCGCCATGGCGGAGTACGTGGCTACGGTGGACAAGATGCTGCCTGGGTGGGACGAGAGCCTGCCGGACCACCCCGTTGCCAGCACGGACCGCTTCTGGGAGGACGATGCGACGGCGACGAACTGTCCGCTGTGCTTCGTCGCCTTCTCCGTACGCGAACGTCGTCACCACTGTCGGTTGTGCTTCTCGATATTCTGCGCGGGCTGCTGCGGACAGATCCTGGAGGTCGCCTTGTGTCCAGGCGCGCCGCTGCGCGCGCAGCGCGTGTGCACGCCGTGCTATCAGGCGGAGTACCGTGCCCAGCAGCTTCGAGAAGCGAGGAAAATCAGCCGCGAGAACCAGGAACTCGAGCAGAGGATTCGCGCGGTGCTGTCTACAGCGAAGCAGACACTTGCGGCCAAGCAGCAGGAGGAACAGAAATTGCGCGCGCTGGCGATTGACGCGGGCTGCGACGTACAGGCTCTCGATGAGGCTATTCAGAAGCAGCACGGCGGGTCCCCCATAGGCTCCGCGTCAATGGAGCTGCCAACGCCGCCAGCAGCGCACCGATTCGCACCAACGCAAACCTCGGTGGAAGCCTCAAACCAGCTCGCTCTGGCTCATCGGCAACTAACGATGAGCTTCAAGATGGCGCAATGTCGTGCTCATCGGGTGCTCGACAAGATGGACGCAACAATCGCGGCGTTGCGAGATGCTGTGAACACTCAAAAGTCGACGAACAACAGGTCGCCATCGCCTGATCATGAAGACAACGGATGGAGCGCCATGATTCGCCACACGGACAGTTTCCTCACGCAAACCGATCGGGAGGCGCTGCAAGTTGTTTCGGATGAGCTCTACAGCCGTTTACGCTCTCGAAGTAGCAGCTCCGTTGACAACTCGGCTGCATCGGACCAAAGTATTGCCATGCTGTGGCAGACGGAGTGTCTGAAAGATAATCGGACGCGGACTTTTGTCACAGATTTGGCTGAAGCTGTGCGTGCCAGGCTAGATGCTTCGTCAGGGTCAGATACTGAAGACTCGGACGCGAATGAGGCACCCGTGGCCACGTCACGTCCGTTGTGGGAACAGCCTGTGCAGACTACAGCTAATGCTAGCCCAGCGTCCAATTCGGTACCGACTTCTTTGGAGCTTGAGAAGGTGTACGAGCTCATCTGTACACAGTGCGAAACGGGGCCAGCGTCGGAATGGGATGAACAGATTCGCCTCGATGTCACGAGAACATTCGGGATATCCGCGCGGCGGCAGCACCGCAAGAGCATAGACCCTACTTCACGTGCTATATGCCATTCGAACGGCGTCGCAATTCCACTCGAGAGACGGCAAGCAGCGCTGCAGAATGTGCTTCGGGCTTGTGCTAGCGTGGATACCGAAGTCGGGTACTGCCAGGGGATGGATCACGTCGCGGCGTTGATGCTGGCTGTGAGTGACTGGAACGAAGCGCGTGCATTCTGGTTGCTTGTTAGCCTCCTTGCATCCCCACGGTTCGAGCTTGAGAGACTGTATGGGCCAGGACTGCCGCATCTAACTCTCCGCTGCTTCCAGGTAAGAAGGTTAAGAACTACTTTCTCGGGCTAGAATTGTACTAACGTGTCGTGATGTTTAGCTGGACCGCCTTCTACGAATGCATCTACCTCTGCTATCCGAGCACTTTCAGGCTATCGACTTCCCAATCAGCATCGTTGCAACAGGGTAGGCTTGAGCATATACGATACAGGTGCCCGACTATTTTTGCGCTAACGCTGATGTTGCTGTATTTACAGGTGGTTTATGACTCTTTTCACCAACATGGAGGCGCTGTCCTACGACGTCGTTATACAAGTGTTCGAGGGATTTATTTTCAAGGGATGGAACCATATCCTCCGCACCGCTCTTGTGATCTTGGAGGAGCTGCAGAGACCCATTCTTGCCAGCTCTTTTGACGAGATCCCTCGCCTGTTTTACGACATCCAGGAGTATGCGGTGAGTCCTTGCAGGATTTCCATCTCATGCACGTGTATCACCATCGTTAATGTCTATTATCTTGCAATATACTTTGTCTTTGTAGCCTCGACTCATGGACGCGGGATACGTCCTCACGCAATCAGCAAAGTTCGAGGTGTCTGATCGAATGTTGAAGCGTTTGCACAACGAGTTCGAAGAGGAGACACCGACAGCAGAACCATCCACCAGCAAGATTGCACGACCTCCCAAACTTACCCCCAAGAACGACAGTCTCACAGGCCGACGCACTACAAACCAGCGCCCTCAGAAAAGAAGAGCATCGCTTCCGCCTTCCTATCTGCGGCCAGAAGCTCGACAAGAACGACAGTTTGTGTCACGAGATCGCATCTCGAAAGCCCCTTCCTCAACAAGGCGAGCCTCTCCATCGCAAATGCAGTCACCAGCCGTCGTGTGATGAGGTCACGAACCTCCTGACCTCCCTCCCCCTCAGTATTCTAGTGCCCTAATGAATAGTAAAAACAGATAACCTGTATCGCACAAGACGCGTTGTTTCTCTTTCTCTTTAGCTAGAGCTTCCGCAGGTTCAAAAATCCCTGTGCCTTCTCATCAAGGTCGTACGAGATGACAACAAGGGCTCGTGCTGGCAGTGCCAGGAACAAATCAATCGCCAGGCCCGCCACGTTGCCAGCACTGTGATGCAGACGCCGAATTGCTGGATGGATGGATGATGGAGAGCAAGTCGCCTCTTTCGTATCGGTCGACGAGCGCAATAGAGCGGCTGGTTCACCGTTCACGAGCACTTGGATAGCTGGGGAGTAGTTGGTGAAAAATGCTGCCTGGAGATGATAAAGCCCTGGCAGCAGCAACCTCACCTCGTCGGACCCAAACTGCCACAAGAAAATGTCCGCATTCGTGTTCACCACTTGAGAGCTCCATTGAATCGTTTGCTTTGCGCTGGGAGGGCCATCCTTCCAGATCTACAACAGAGGAAGCACCACTTAATCAGCCTGCATTCTTTTGTAGGGATAGATAGTAGCAATACTTACATAGCGAGCTTGGTAGATTTCGCTGCGTAGCTGCCGCGTAATGGCTTGCAACTGTCGGTTGATGCTCTCGACTTGAGGTTTCGTTGCAAACTCGCCAGCTGCTGCGCTTTCCACTTGCTTCATGGCGTTCTGCAAACCGTTCAGGGTCGACTGCGAGTCCAGGAGATCCTTAACGTCTGCAACAGACATCTTCTCGTTCACGATCCGCTGCAACGCGCTTAACTCATGCTGAATGGACTCGGCGAGTGACAACAAATTGTGCTGGCGAAGTATACAATGCTGTTAGACACCAACCACAACATTATACTGGCAGCCCTTCTGACTTACCATGTTGGGCTTGACCTGCACAAGCTCCAACGCATCGGCCTTGGCCTCGTTGAGCTGTCGCAACTGGCCAACGTCGTCCATTATGGTTTCTTGAGATCGCTGAATATTGTCGATTAAAGCACAGGCGGAACAGTAGCAGAAGCAAAGTTGTTTGTCTGTTCCGCGAATGGTAAAAGCACAACATATTTCGCGTTTTTAACACTTGCCGATAGTTGTAAATCGAAAGAAGCATTTAGTTGAGTCGAGGACTTACCAATACCAGCACGCTGGTAAAACCACTGCGCGTAGCAATCATTGTAGCGAACCTTCTTAACCGGCTTAGAGATAATAGCTTGAGGGTTCTCAAGATGAACGAAAGGGACATACAAACGAACAGTAGTAAAAGACATGTATGTACCATCGATGGTAGGTTCAAGAGCATTTACAACCGCTCCCCAAGCAACACTAAAGCCAGCAGATGCGGCAAGCACACCATTCATCGGATTACCGGTAGCAGAAGCAGCAATCATGACCGGACAACTATTACCAGACGATAGAGTAGTAGAGGTTAGCGACATACCCTTTGAAGCATCTACCGCGACTACAGACGTTCCCTGATTCACACGGAAACGCAGGCGAATTTGAGGGTTAGCCATTAAGTCAAGCTCACGGAAGATAGGATGCAGATCGGTGAGCTTAATCTTAAGCATGTAGTTCCACGTTCCCATGATTGCGTTAGCAGCAGTACCACCAGCTACGAAAGCTCCACGCGAGGTCTGGTTAGAAATGGTAGTCGATGCAGCAGCACCACCTACCGACGGCCACGAGCTGGAGAAGTCAGCGCCAGCCGCAGCAGGATTTGATAGAAGGCGCTTAACGAAACCATCATTAGGAATAGTTGCACCACCAGGAGGAGCCGAGACAGCAAAGGAAGACGAGAATGCCATGGTGTTTGAATATCCATCACCACTGGTAGATGCGGATCCAGAACTGTATGATACCGACTGAGCAGCGTCAGGGTACAAGAACGATTCAGCTCCGTGCTTTTCAACGTACTGAGGGCTGTAGCCAGTATGAGCACGAACGTTGTTCCAAAAGAGCTTGTAGTCAGCCATAGAGACGATAGTCTTTCCGTTTAGTTCCAGACTCAGACTATCAACAACGTTCCAACTTCCGCATTTTAGAGTAGCACAGCGCGAACCCAGGTAGATATACCTTTAAATAGCTTCGGTACGCCTTTTTCGTGTTGACGGCAGTGCAGGCACTTCGAACTTGGTCTCCATCGAGGCGACCACAGGACGGAGTCTGTAATACAGGTCCAGCAGTAGCAGGGAGGCACAGGTTGCTTGTCATCGTCAGCTGCTTGTTGTGGGTTGAGGGAGTCAAATTGTGAGGGCCAGTGAAGGAGGAGGCCAACGACAGACGCATTTTAAACCAATCAGAGAGGGTAAATTGGTGTAACGAGCACGCGATACGCATTCGTGTTCAAATCTCTTGACGGAGGCTACAACCATTGCTGGCTGGAAATTGGAGAGATCAAAATTTGTTGATTGAAAACGTAAGATGTCCAGGTTACGGGGGCTTTAATTTGTCTATACTGGCGATACTATAATTGGAGATTGTAGTTTGAACGAGCGGTCCCGAAACGCCCTAAGATCCAAAAGACGTGGCTCTCGCTATAAAGTGGGCGTCGTCAAATCAACGTCTATTAGATCTGACCGGTTCAGAGGTTCTAAAACTACCCTCATATCGAAAAGACGTGGCTCTCGCTCTCAAGTGGTCGAGAGGGGTCGTCGTTGAAATCGCTGCTGTCCCGAAAGAAGGTTTCAGGAATGTTCTCGGTGGTAAATTACGGTAAGGAAAAAAACTGCCGGCGTAATGTTCCATGACCCACTACTCTTGCGGGTGGACTGCACCGCATCGATACAGCCAACACCAACGTAGTTGGATCCATGTTCGTTGTTCCGGAAATTACAGGTGGGGCGTCGGTTCCTCACCAGTCAAGCGATCGAAGACTCGAACTGGCCGTCCCGAGTCGGGATACTCCGAGTACGCACCTCGCGTACAACCGCACGACGACAGCGGCACTTTGGAACATCAGGCAACACCCCAACGTGCTCAACCTGGAGACGTTCGACACTATGACCGATAACTCCGACGTGTCAAAGTCAGCACCAGTTGCTACACTAGTCGTTGCTGACTGTCAACAAGCGCTACAGACTTCAGTGGGGCGAGTTGTTGCCGGGGATTCGTTCTTTGGGGTTTCATTCGCCACAACAGCCGCGTATTTTCACGTGTTGAGCATTGCCAAGCACCTCTCACCAGTCATTTCTTCTCCTGGGAGCTGTCGAGTGAAGCTCGAGCTGGAACACGCGACCTTCGCTCAACTATATCCAGACTGCAGAATCAAATTCTATTCTACCGACATCGCCAGCCTCATTCGGACGGAATCGGTGGTCGATGCTACAGCGCAAGCTCGAAGACTTGAGGCGAGCACGTTTGGGTTCGTGAAGGATTCTTCCTGCAAATACGACTGCGGGGACAAAGGTGACGACGTAGGGGAGATCGACGTCGACAAGTGCTGGGCTAAGGTCGACAGTAAGTGGACGGAGCAGCAGTGCAAGTTGCAGTTCTACGCAAAGAACAGCGACTGCACGACTGAATGCGGCTACGAAGGCGATACTAAGACGCTGCCAGCAAAATTAATGCTACGACTGCTCGTCGAGTGATGATGATTCATGCCGGGTCTTGAGCTATACCGCGGTTGAGGACACGACGACTGGTACGTTATCATGGAACTTGGAGAACGACACTGTGACTGTGAGCAACTCCAGCTACCAGATCTTTGAGACTGGCAACTGCTCCGACACGTCCGACCCAGCCCCGAACTGTTGCCGCATCACGTGCGAGAACTGCTTCCTGAACGTCTCCATCGCGTCCATGTTCGCAGATGTAGAGGTTGTCGGGGTGTCATTTGAAGAAGCGATCGAGATGGAATTAGCGAGGAACGCCAACCTCCAAGTGGCCCTGTATGCGCCGAATGGATGCACTCTGGATGAGACGACGCAGCTTAAGAACGCGAGCTTCACTATCCCCCTGGGCGAGACGGGAATCAGCGTCGAGATTACAATGGGGCTGGATCTGCGCAGGAAAATGTCGCTTCAACCCCATGGCTCCATAGTAAACATCGGTGCGACTGCAGAGCTCCAAAGCTTAACAGCGGGTTCGCTTCGCTCCGAGAAATTCCACGACGTGCAGATCACGACCAACACGTCGAGCAAGTTGGCTCAGAGCAGCATCGATCTGGAGATGGACCTCGAGTTAACTCCGTCCTTCCAGGCGTCTCTGTCACTGCTAAATGGTCTTGCTAAAGTGGGCGTCAAGACTGAATTCTTGGTGTTTGTAGAGCTGAACAGCACCTTCCAATACCCAGACCCGTTTTCAGGTCTGTTTTTGCAATATCTCGATGAGTCGTCGCTGTGGCACGGAGGGGATTGTCGGCTTCCTCACTTCATGGAGTACAATGGCAACGCCGGTTATGGGGAAGTCAACGTCTCGATCCCTCTCTCGCTCGCAGTATCTCGCGCTGTTAACACGACGACGGAGCTAGACGTCTTGTCGTCTTCGGACCGGTTCAGCTTCAGCTTGTTCAGCGGGTGTGTGGCCACCGCCTACGATGCGGAGGTGCGTCTCTCCACAGCGATCGATACGGTGTCGGCTTTGTCTGGTGAGAAGATGGACGCGTTGCGGGCGATTCTCGTGTGGACACTTGGCATGACCGACATCGACCCAGAATTCGTCAACGTTACTGAGGTCTCCGCGCGACGGGTGAAATTTTCCTCACGCTGTCGGTGCCTCCATCTCTCGGTGAACTTAACCCAAACGCCTCGGACTTTGTTGTCGAAGTTTACCAGCGAGCGAAGAATGAGACGTTTAGGGGTAAGGTGAGCGACTACGTGGGGCTAGACATCGGGGCGCAGTGCAGCGCCAGTTGGTGGGGAGCTCAGTGTGATCGGCCCTGTAGCGCTCAGAACTGCGCGAGCGGTAGCACAAGTTGCAACGCCGTTGATGGGACGCTTGTATCTTGTAGCTTGTGCAAATACGGGTACTGGGGGCCAACCTGTGAGAACTCGTGCCAAGTGCTTGCTGACTGCACGAATGCACGCTGTGATCAGACCACGGGGGATCAAGTCGAGTGCGTGTCGTGCGATGGTGATCAAGATGGCTCGTTGTGTGGAGGAGGAGACACGACGTCAGGGTCGGACCCAGTTCAGCATTTCCGCTCAAGGTGGAGTACGCCTGGCCCGAGGCGGCACCCGACTTCACCGAATGGTGGACTGCCGCGCTGGAGACGTCGAAGTACCTGTCGGACCGAATGGCCATGGCGAGTCAAGACGCTGCGTGGATCGCGGAGCTTGGTCCGGTACGGCTGGAGCTGTGCCTGGCACAGGATGTCTCCGGCATCGTGATTCCGCCGAGCATCCTGTCGCCGCGCGAGTGCGTTGCGCTCATCCAGTCTCTCCTCTTCGCTGCCGGTTTCAGGTTTCACAACCTGATCCCGATGTGGTTCCAGTCGCAGTCGTCCAGAGTCACGCCGAGTCTGGTGCGCTCTGTGGTCGAGGACGTCCAGCACTTCCTCGCGTTCGAGCTGATCGAGCCTCCCAGCGTGCCCAGCACGTCTCCAATGTCGACGATGCAGGCGCATGAAGTGGCGGCTGCCATCGAGAGCGCCCGCGCCGAGGCAGCACGCCTGGAGCACGAGCGCGCGTCATTGCGAAGCCTCCATAGTAGCGCTGGTGTCACAGTTGACCAGATTCGCCACAAAATCTCCATTGCTTCTGTGTGATGTGGGGTCCATCGGCCGATACACAGCTGAGCTTTAGCCAAAAAAGCACACGAAGTTCTGCTATTTGCGGTGGTTGGGTCGTGTATCCCATCCACTTGTTGATCCACGTCATCCACGCGGCCTCCGCTTTTCTGCAGCCCCACAAAATGTGGTTAATTGTTTCAGTGAGGCATTGACAGTCCGGGTCCGGGCAAGCGCGGTCGTCAGGCCGCCCGCTGTGGCCCCTACAGTAGCGTGATGAATACTTCTCCGGTCCGCTAAAGAATTAACAGTTCTCTAATCAGACTATATATTGCGTTCTACTGCTTCAACAGAGCTGTAGCTGCCCTTAAATTTAAGCTCTGGATCTGGTGTATCACGTAGTATTTTTGATAAATCCATTTTCCCGCCCTTTCAGGTAGTTATCGGGTCGTTTAAACAATCAGTTTCCACAGGTGTGAGGTTTAAATTCACTGCGCCATCAAAAATGATCCGATTAGAACTTGGAAATACACATGAGAAAGCGGAAAGAGATTTTATTCCTGTGATATAATGTCGTAAACAGTTGAATATTCCAAGGCAAGAAAAACAGCCAATAGTGTTTGAGGTTTTTTGCATACAAATCACTGATGTTAGAGTTTTGTCCAATGAAGTGTGGTACATAGAGGTACTTTGACCAATCATACATCGAGATGCTTTGAGGTTTTTTATGAAAAAAACAGAACTGTTAATTCTTTTCCGGACCGGAGAAGTAAGCATTGCTCACAACCGATTTGAGGGTCCTGGCTCACAGACATGATCTGCTCTCCATTCCTTAGCGGGCAAGCAAGCAATGGCTTCGTCCGGTTGTGGGCGTCAGTGGCGCGATGGGGCCCCCATTGGGGCAGGTCAGCATGCCAGAGTCTAACAGTGAAAACGCCACGAAGATCAGAGGACACGCTGTCCAATCTCGAATGTCATCGTTTCTCGTTAAATACTCGTACCGTGCGGTGACTATCCATTGGATACATTCGTGAATTTCACGAGACTGCAGTAGCGCGATGGAGTCCAGCAACTTCCTTCGTCGCAGCAGAGATAGCCATCACTCTGCACGATATCGCTTTCTTGACCAAGTCGACCACGATGACGCCGAAGGATGCGCCGACGCCGCATCGGAGACCAAGACCAGTCGTCGCCCAAGCAGCGGCTTTCTCAGCCCTGCTGACCTGCTGAGCGCTCCGTGGTTCGGGTGGTTGTTCGTCTACGCCTTCACGCTCTTCTGCTTCTCCGCCAGTCGTTGGCTGGCGCTGAGAGAGCTCATCATGATGACAGCAGCGCCAAGGACTACGTCTTAAGCGTGAAGCTCGCTTCGATGGGCCTTGGTTTCGTGGAGGACTTGGTCTGCACCACCTACTTCGTGTGCGCACTGTGGCTGTTTGACTCCCTGAAGCGCACGGTCGGCGACCGGTTCGGCGCTGAAGGCGGCAAGCGGAGGTGCGTCCTGAAGCCTCAGACGGTCGGCTCGCTCGCGACGTTTGTGGTGTCGTGGCTGCTGTTCTTCGCCTTGATGACGCCCTTCGTCGCGGACTTGCTGCTCGTGGTGAACCGCGACATGCGCTTCACGTTCGACCTCGTGACGATGGCGATCAACGAGAAGGAGTTCGCGAGCGCGGCCCCGATATTGACCGAGGAGATCCACCGAGGCTACGTGGGGGCGGGCGTGCTGGTGGCTGTCACGACGCTGTTTGCGTGTGTGCGTGTGAAGGCTGCGTGGGCTGATCTGTCGGTTTGGAACCCGACGCACGTAGTGGCGGCTGCGGGTGGTCTTAAGTACATGGAAGTCGCTCTAGAAGAGGACGCAGATAGGCTGGAGTCGCCCAACACCAAAGATCAGGGCGTTCGCAAGCTTTCCTGTGTGCACTATAACGCTATCTACCACCACGGTTTGCGGGTAGCTATCATCCTCGTGGGTACCGTAGTAATGCCCGCCGTTGCAGTCGCGCTACGCTGCGCATGTTCCCCGCTGGTAGCGTACACCGGTATGAATGCGACACTTAACGAGTTGTTCGGCCACGCCTTTCAACCCGCACCGACAGACACAACATTTACAACAGTGAAGGGCGACAAACCGTGGGCCGAAACGTATATCCACCCAACTGAGAAGTACGAGCTGTTTGGAGACGATTCTCTTTACCGACACACCACCGGCTTCCAGGGGGATCTCGCTTTCGACGTCAACATCTCCAACGAGAACCCTCCCAACGTCCTGGTCATCGCAGTCGAGTCCTTCCGCTACCAAGACTCTCGTTACCTGGTCGGAGAGGAAGACCCGTCCAACCTGTTCAAGGGAACGAACATGACCATCACGCCGAACTTCGACAGGTGGGCCAAGCGCAGAGTGGCTCTCCGCAATATGTGGTCGAGCACCCCAACGAGCAGGTCTTTGGAGAGTCTGCTATTCGCGCAGATTCCGTACGACAGCACTGTGAAGACAGGCATCACCGGCGGAAGGAAGGAGACAAAGCTGTCTGGTTTACCCCAACTCTTCAAGGCCAAGGGGTACGAAACATTTTTCACGACGGGGTGCCCGACGCGCTTTGAGAACTGGGATGTGTTTCTTCCTACCCACGGCTTTGAGACCGTCTTGGAATCCAAGGAAATGAAGCTTCTGGCTGAGAGTAAACTCGGTATTCCGCGTGGAGACTGGTCTGGCAAAGCACGTCGTGGGTTCAAGTGGGGGGTCCACGACGATATCAACTTGCAGCTTTTGGGTGAAATGTTCATTGACAAGACGAGGGAGCAGCGAGAGCGAGTTGCACGGGGTCTACCCAAAAGGCCATTGTTTACCACGCACTACACCATTTCCAGCCATGCGCCTTTCAAAGCACGCCCGGCATGGTATGCTAAGGCCGACAAGCCAGACTTCTCCGCGTTCTACAAGGGGCAAAAACACTCGACTATGATCAAGAACTACCTCGAAATGCGCTACTTCACGGACATGCAGCTGGGTAAATTCATGGACCGGACCGCATGGAGAAGGAGGGCGTCCTCAACGACACCATCGTCGTCATCGTAGGCGACCACGGCCAAGCGCCTGAAGCTGACGTTACGAACACGCACGAGGAGTCTGTGACCCGTGTGGCAGGCGCTATCATCGCCGAGGGTCGGTTGGGTGAAGCTGCTGGACTTGTGATCGAGGACGCCGTGGATCACTACGACATTCTCAACACGCTGGCAGATATCACAGGACTGCCTGAGGGAGGGTTCGTAGACTGGCGTCGGGCGCTCACTCAAGCGCAAGGTTCCGTTTGGCGCGCGCGTGGTGTACAGCAACGACCCGAGCCGCAAGATGGCGATCGTGCGTGGCCACCAGCGCCTTCGCTATGATCAAGTAACGGCTTCGATGAGCTTGCATGATACCGAGCGCGACCATTCCATGAATGTCGATATGTTTCCGAGCCTTCCAGTCGAAGAGCAGGCCGAATGGGAGAACTGGCGCGAGTACGGTCGCCGCGTCACCGCGTACTTTAAGCAGCGCTTGGATGGCAACTGCCTGCTGGCTCTTGATTGTACTTCAGGTAGCTAACTAGATTGTGTGCTTGTAGACTATCAGTAATATCAAAAGCATTTGTACTACATACTGTAGTAGCAGTCTTCGTCGATAATTGGTATAAGGACCATATTCCATATTCACCTGGCCAGTACGACCAGCATGATTAACAACTAAGCCCATTCTCCTCCGAAAACGACTCACCCCGCACAAGAATGAGCTTTTACGTTGCAAATTTTAAATTATTGACTGCTGCTGATTCCTAATTTAAAATTAAATACTGCTACGTGGTTTATTTTTCTAAGACACGGGATTAAATTACATGTTCTGGTTTACAGATTCAATATTATTATATATAGGCTATATTAATAATTTATAGCACAACAATTCGGCGCTGGTAAGTGTACAATACTGTACGCTTGCATCACCATCATTTTTAATTTTAAGGTCCCATCGAAGAGCTGTATCGACGGAATTTTCAATTCCTGAATTAAAATTCAGGACTTCCAATTGCAGAGCAGGCCGAGAACACAAGACACAAGGCGCACACTCACCCGGTTACATATGGGTTGCTGCTACAGAAAGTGATCGTAAATGCTGCACACCCTGAGGGCGGACTCAAATTTCCAAAGAGAGCCCGCCGAAAGGAAGGAAATACGCGTCTAACTCAAACCAGAAGATGTTGCAACGATTCAGGTATCGTTGAATACATGTAGCTCAGAGTGAGGTGATGAATATACCAAGGCCAAAAGCGTTGGCAATGTCTGCGGTGAAGAAATCGAAATGCTGGATTCCCAGCATTTCGGGATAGATTTCACCCCTGTATACTTATCTAACTGGTGAAAACTATATCAGCATTTCAGGAGACCAGAACTTAATTAAATTACACTTTAAAGCTATAATTTAGTATATGAGAGCTATTCATAGGCTGGGATAGCTAAAAAACTTAGTGTGAGCATCTTCACCGCGGCCGCGCCGTCACTATCTCTATCGCCATAGCAGCAATTCAACGAGAAACAAAGTCGCGCGCGTTGCACGAAGAAGCTCTGAAATCTACGACTTACCTGTTACCTACAATATCTGTGGCATGTAAATTTGCTTTCCATTACAACGCATCTCCTGCGCCTGCTTCGCAGCCGCAGCTGACTGACTTAGTGCCTATCAGGATTATTTATTTATGAGCTTTTCGCCCGTCGACCATTATCATCTTCTGCAGACGCAAAATTTTCTATCTTTATATTTTTTAGTAGCCACCTCAGCAACGTAGTACTAGATGCAGGGGGTTAAAGAGGTGACAGATGCGTGCGTTCGGCTGGAGGTGCAACACTGAAAACGCGCGTTGTACTTCCTTACCTGCCAAGTAATATTAATACATGTAGTTGAATGTGCATCACTAACGGCCTCGCGGCGACAACCTGACACCGCTGATCACCGATGTGTGGACTGGTACGCGGTAAGCCGTCGCTTTCGAGGTGTCTTCCATCCATCTCGAGCTTGTGTCGGATTTGAGATGGAGAGCATAGGCGCCAATCAGTTAACTTCAGTTACCGGGGCCAGTTTTCCGGCTCCAGTATTACCGGCTTCAGTTACCGAGGTGCCGCCTAATTAATCTGTGTTGGGCTGTCCCACCGGGGTTACTGCTATCCCAGAAAAAATATTTCACATAACAAGTGTTTAACTCAGAAACACAAACCTTAAGGCCCATTCCTAACCGGTTAGTTTGACAAATAACTAGGGCTCCGCGAAGGCTGGGATAGGAGGTTTTTGGTATAAACCCCGGTCATCTCCTGCCCGAAAATTGTACTTAAGACTGTAGATGCTAGATATCAACTGGCAACGCTTTACAACAAATGCGAACCTTGGCTGAGATCTGTTTGCAGCTTGCAGTGGAAGTTTTATACTTGAAAATGCAAATGCTTATTTCCAGTGCTACAACAGTCCGCCTCAATCGTTCTCTTTACTTCAATTCGTTCACTGCTCGAATATACGTATTGAATCATACCAGTGTCGTCGGTTGCACACCGGTTGGACCTGTCCACGCATATAAACCTTTTGGAGGCTACAGTGTGGCACCGGATTCATACCGGTGTAATAAATATTCTACCGGTTCGATTTGCCCACGCATATAAACCCAGTGCATCACTGGGGCCATACCGGTTTCAAGAAAATATACCAGTTAGATGTCAAGAGGACCACGGATATAATCCTATTTGATCTGCGATAGCAGCACTAACGTTGCTTCCTATCCCAGTATAATTCTAATTACCATCCTAACTTCGTGTGGTACAATTGACAGCCAACAGGCAGTTGCCGTCCAAGCGCTGCTTAAAGTACGCGGTGACGCGGCGACCGTACTCGCGCCAGTTCTCCCATTCGGCCTGCTCTTCGGCTGGAAGGCTCGGAAACATATCGACATTCATGGAATGGTCGCGCTCGGTATCATGCAAGCTCATCGAAGCCGTTACTTGATCATAGCGAAGGCGCTGGTGGCCACGCACGATCGCCATCTTGCGGCTCGGGTCGTTGCTGTACACCACGCGCGCGCCAAACGGAACCTTGCGCTTGAGTGAGCGCCCGACGCCAGTCTACGAACCCTCCCTCAGGCAGTCCTGTGATATCTGCCAGCGTGTTGAGAATGTCGTAGTGATCCACGGCGTCCTCGATCACAAGTCCAGCAGCTTCACCCAACCGACCCTCGGCGATGATAGCGCCTGCCACACGGGTCACAGACTCCTCGTGCGTGTTCGTAACGTCAGCTTCAGGCGCTTGGCCGTGGTCGCCTACGATGACGACGATGGTGTCGTTGAGGACGCCCTCCTTCTCCATGCGGTCCGGTCCATGAATTTACCCAGCTGCATGTCCGTGAAGTAGCGCATTTCGAGGTAGTTCTTGATCATAGTCGAGTGTTTTTGCCCCTTGTAGAACGCGGAGAAGTCTGGCTTGTCGGCCTTAGCATACCATGCCGGGCGTGCTTTGAAAGGCGCATGGCTGGAAATGGTGTAGTGCGTGGTAAACAATGGCCTTTTGGGTAGACCCCGTGCAACTCGCTCTCGCTGCTCCCTCGTCTTGTCAATGAACATTTCACCCAAAAGCTGCAAGTTGATATCGTCGTGGACCCCCCACTTGAACCCACGACGTGCTTTGCCAGACCAGTCTCCACGCGGAATACCGAGTTTACTCTCAGCCAGAAGCTTCATTTCCTTGGATTCCAAGACGGTCTCAAAGCCGTGGGTAGGAAGAAACACATCCCAGTTCTCAAAGCGCGTCGGGCACCCCGTCGTGAAAAATGTTTCGTACCCCTTGGCCTTGAAGAGTTGGGGTAAACCAGACAGCTTTGTCTCCTTCCTTCCGCCGGTGATGCCTGTCTTCACAGTGCTGTCGTACGGAATCTGCGCGAATAGCAGACTCTCCAAAGACCTGCTCGTTGGGGTGCTCGACCACATATTGCGGAGAGCCACTCCGCGCTTGGCCCACCTGTCGAAGTTCGGCGTGATGGTCATGTTCGTTCCCTTGAACAGGTTGGACGGGTCTTCCTCTCCGACCAGGTAACGAGAGTCTTGGTAGCGGAAGGACTCGACTGCGATGACCAGGACGTTGGGAGGGTTCTCGTTGGAGATATTGACGTCGAAAGCGAGATCCCCCTGGAAGCCGGTGGTGCGTCGGTAAAGAGAATCGTCTCCAAACAGCTCGTACTTCTCAGTTGGGTGGATATACGTTTCGGCCCACGGTTTGTCGCCCTTCACTGTTGAAAATGTTGTGTCTGTCGGTGCGGGTTGAAAGGCGTGGCCGAACAATTCGTTAAGTGTCGCATTCATACCGGTGTACGCTACCAGCGGGGAACATGCGCAGCGTAGCGCGACTGCAACGGCGGGCATTACTACGGTACCCACGAGGATGATAGCTACCCGCAAACCGTGGTGGT